ACAGTGTTAACTGTGACATACGGTATAGATACAATATAACTAAGATTTGTATATGTTATCATGTCTTAATATTTTAACGTAATAAGTAATTATACATAAAATAAATTCACTATTTGTTAATATTATATTTTGTATTTTATGATTTTCAAACAAGATTTTCACTTTAGCTATAGACTTTTTTCGTTGATAAATCTAAACATATGACCCATATAGCAGACGTTAATTGTTGCCCTATTCCAATGCAAATAAATAAATTCTAATTCTTACCAGTTGCTCTGTCCAATAAAATCCACTCTCTGATTTTGTAACCAAGTAACACCACCATAATCACAAAACACCACCCACCGACTTGACAAAATAAAATCCCTTACAAATCACGATATCCCGATATAAAATTTTAAAACGAGTCCGACGAAGCCGTAAGTTCTACTGAGCTTAGAAGCCGGAGTCCACGGCAAGACAACAAATGGATAGATAAGTGGGAATGTATAAATAATCTCAGTAATGAGTACAAACTCCTTAGGGACACTCGGTAGGGACAATAGATAATAAACGAAAAGGCCCATTAAGCAGCAAGAGCCGAACATTTCAACTCGTAAGTAGACAATTTCCTAATCGGCTCTAATTGCCTTGACCGAATTGACTGGTTATTTGTTCTTGTTCGATTATGAAAAGCAAATCACTATAAAGGTTATGGTAATATTTGAACAATGCAAAAAGCATTTGCAATAGGTAACAACAAAATAAAAAAAACTTACAACAAAATCATTTGCGACAAATAGGAGGTCTTTCTCTAATTATATGAAAATACTAATGGGTGCTCGGAACTTCGCCTGCGAGGAATAATTTGTTTCTCATACAAATTTCTATCCACCTCAGCGCCCCATTAAAGGATTATTTCTGGGTTAAACTACCATATGTCCTTTCCCAGAAATCGTACTATCTCTATACATGAAGAGGTAACAGACTGGCATACAGAATCTTATTATTGATATTAGTTATGGATTATAAAACTCGTTTAATATAATATTGTGATTATTCTAGTGTTAATATACCCACATTCGTCAGAACTAGAAATTAATAAATAAAGCCAAATATGTAGTGTAAAAAAGAAGATTTAAAACTCACTGATAGGAAATGCTGACGCCGGTAATATCATTTTGGGTTCCCATCAAAATATTCAACATTAAAAAATAAACTTGGACGAGTTTCCGAAGTAGCAATTTGTTTCGGTCAACCCTGTCGTGTCGCTGCAGCTATACTGGATAACTGAATAAGCTATCCTGGTTACGAAGATATGTTAGATAGACATATTATGAGATACAGCCCATCAAGATCTATCACCGATATGGCAGAATATTGATATAATATGCCGATATAAGCCCCGCGCTCGTGACCAAGCTTATCTTAATTTTTTGCGCACCGACTTACTACGATTGACGTACTTCCTATTTATTTATAGACCATCTATTTCAGTTTCCTCAATGGAGTATTTTTAATAATAGCTTTCTGTTTTCAGTATTTTTACGTAGGTGGATCTAAAAAAAATCGTTTTGACTAAAACCAAACGTTGGAAACAGACATTTAAAACTTTAATGAACAATCAAAAAAATCATACTCTTGAAAACAGAGTCTCTAAATGATCTGAATCGTAGATGTACGAGTATAAAAGAATAAAAAACGCATTTGGAACCCCTTGAAAAGTATTTTATTTAATGAGTGGTGTGAGTGAAAACATGAGAAATAAATATATCGAAGAATTAAACTACAAAGTTTATTGAAGGCATTTTTTTTATTAAAAAGGTTATACATATAGTGAAATATTAGCGCAAAGAAGATTTCACAATGGAAAAGGAAATCAAATGAACTCAAAATCGTATGTAAATGTGTCGAGTCGATCCGCATTCGCTGAATGTTAAACACAACGATAATAAACAAAGAATCACTTGATACAGGAAGTGCGTGGAACAATAACAAGGTGCCCACCAATTTGATTCATCAAAACGAATCTGTGCGTATTAAATACAGTAGGAAGTTATTGAACACTGTTTGTTATTATTATAAGTATAAGAAGCGGAAGCAAAGCAAAAACTGATGTTCGTAGTGGTGGCAGAGCTTTTTTTATGTTAAAAGCTACGAAAAAAGTTACGGAGCTTCGACTCCGATTCCGATAAGACGGAACTTCCGATTATTATTACACCTTCGGTTCCGACTTCGTCTCCGAAACTTTTAAATCGGAGGTTTTAATCGGAGGTCGAAACATAGCAAATAGCGACGGCGGCCTGCGTTGACCGTTAGGAACTGGTTATTACCCGTCGCGTTGGGAGTCTGTGTTAATAATAAGTAAATTTAAATGAAAAAAGGTTATTTTAAAATTAAAATGAAAAAAGGTTGACTGAATGATGTTTTCATTTGTTCTTAAATGAAAAATATCTCTCTTTTGACCACTGCTGACTCTCCCCCTGACCCCGACTCTGCCTCTGACTCCGGTTCCGAATCCGATAAATCAAATTTAAAAACTCCGACTCCGACTTTGGTTCCGATAAATTTACCTCCGTTACATCTCTGGTTTAAAGGAAGGCAAATAAGCATATGGCTCGCCTAATGGTAAGCGGCTACCATAGCCTATAGATAGGGCTGCCATCTCTTAAATGTGGCAACCAGGATAAGACGCGTGATAACCCCGGATTTTGAAGCCCAGAACCCGGACAGACTAATAAAAAAACAGTTATAAAAATGTCACAATTCAACTTTTTTATGTTGATCTAGGCAAAAGAGTTAGCGGTCTACATCATAATAAGTGGTCACTGCTGCCCTTGGACACTTGCAGCACCAAGGGCCACTCATGCGTTGCCGTAAATTTTAAAAAACCCGGACTACAAATAAAACCCTGCCCGGACGCTCCCCGGACGCCCCGTAAACTAGGACAAATCCGGGGAAACCCGGACGGATGGCAGCCCTACCTATAGATAGATGCTTGCAATACAAACAATATCACTAGGGTCATTGCCTATCCTGACCCAATCCCCTACCCCTTCGAGTCGTGGAATCTTACTGACCGACTGAAACACAACACCGTCAAAAGGTAGTGTTATTTTATTGTGGTGGTAAGGTGGAGGTTACTTCCCCAGGCGAACGCACCAATTCGAGCGGAAAGTCCGCTATGCCCTATCTATCTAAACTGCTAACGTTCATCACATCACGTCAGACGTAAGAATTGTCAATGAATTACTATATCGTATTGGGACTTTCTACTGTTTACGTAAAATCATAAAGATTATTAACGAAAGCATTAAATTTGTAGCAATATTGAACGACGTCACTGTTGTAATGAATACCTACATTAGGTAATCATCATTACTGAATTGATTATTCAAAGCGCTTTCTACATTTGCAAATAAATGTATTGAAGTTTTTCCGTAAAACCGCGAGAGGAAAAATCATTTGTTTGTTTTCTTCACAACTTACAAAGTGCATTACGAATCTGCATTTTCGGTATCTGTTTTTTAAAAACAGCATATTGGACATCATATACCAAGATTTCACATTTCCGTCTAGTTTAGATTTTTAAGATAGACCTCGTAACAAAAATGGTAAATATAAAGACAACATTGACGCCCCCGGTCCTTTCATTCCTTTGTTATTAAAAAAAATATAGAAAATATATTTATATCCTACTCAAGGAGCTGTAGTCAATAATGTGTCATATATATGCTGGGGTAAAAAAGAAAGAAATATTTCGTCTTCCATCCGTCTCCGCCCCCCCACCCCACACTAAAAATAATTAAATTTAATTTTTAACTAAATATTTGGCTTTGGGCAAGCATTTTACAGAAAATACCAAAATTTCAATGCTGTACCTCTTCCGTTTATGATATAACATACGGACAGACAGACGACAGTGACAGCAATAGGGTTCCATTTGTACCATTTGGATACGGAGCTACCATAGTAGACAAAGACGCATCAAATATAAATGATGACGTATTGCTTTCCACTCTAATTTGGTAATGAAATAATAATGCGTCATCAGCACCAGTTTCTGAACCTACGCAATTTGGCGTTATACTTGTCCGAGGGAATTGGTTTCATGTTACCATTTACGTAAACGAGCGGCAATCTGCCCCTATCGGAACACTGACTGCCACTGATTCAGTGCCTAATGCATCAAAAAAATATTCACAATATCCTCTTTTATTATTTTTACAATTTCCAACTCTACCTTTGATAACCTAATATACTTATTAAGAAAATATCAAATCTAGTTGACCCAAATAAATAGTTGGAGAAAGACAGTCTCTAGAGAGAAATTCGAAAAGTCGCCAAGTTACAGTTTACTAAGAATACCCTCCAATTGAGGTCCAGTTGCACAAACATCCAAACCTTAATCTTTGTCAATTGATTAAAGTCAAATAGAGATAATGAGGCTTAACCATTTTATTACACCAACAGGATTAGCTTACATTTTATTTAAGAACTGTGCAAGTGCCCTAAGGAAAAATAAGTGGGTGGGTCATACACAAAAGTGGTGCTCAAAAAAGAAAATAAAATAAAAAGTCAGATAACGATTCGAATTTTGGTATTTATTTTAAAGTAATTATTATCAGTCTTACAAAATTATGAGCGTAGGTCAGTCTTCATTATTACAACAGAAAAATCACATTTTCATAAATTTTCCGTCTACAGGATAGATTAATTAATCTACAGAAAACAATAAAAATATACTTTTAGTATTTAAAACATAACAAATATATCAAAAACTTCTTTTATATTAATTAATGTGACTTACTTTTTCTTTATTATATGCAATCAAAACAAAAACAAGTATATAAAACTTAAAAAAAAAATCAAAAAATGTCTACAGATTCGACATATCCTTCTGTAGAAGAAATATTAAAAAATGGAATCGTCGTCTGAACCTTCCCACATTGGAATCAGAGATCGTCTTTTTTTGGGAAACAATTCTAAAGATGAATCAGAGTCTTCTAAAAGATTCTTACTGGGCTGAACTCTTTTGTTAGGCCTAACATTTTGTTCAGATGCCTCAGTAGAGACTTCGGGTGTTAACCTGTCACTAAAACCAGGTGAGATTGATACAGTTGAAGCTTCAGGAGTATTTGGAGCTTCTGGAACCTCTGGGGTATTTGGAGCTTCTGAGATATCTAGAGATTTAGAATTGTCGACAGGTTTACAGTTGACATCTATTGTCCCTAGTTCATAATGTGGACATTTAACATGTGTGGCGCAAATCAGGCAACTCAAATGTCTTGCATGTATTAGTGTCGGTTCTTTAATACTCCACGTTAATTGATGAATTTCACGTGTCCCTTTAAAGGGCCGTATAATACTTCTGTTCAAAATGTCTTCTATATCAGGGATAAGTGATTCGTTGATTCTGTAAACCTCAATGCCTTTACAATTCGTAGATAAACAAGATATTAATCCTTCCAAATTAGAAACATCGTTGCCTCTTGCCACATGGCTATCACAAATTCGTTTTATGCACCCACCTACACCATCGGGTGCTCCTTTACCGTGACCTCTTTCACTGAAATGCCATGATATTGTATCCAGTCCAAACTCCTTGCTTATATAGGTAGCAACTAAATTAAACATCGATTTATTTCGATACTGCGTTGAGGGACCATCACTTAGAATATGTAAGTGTTTTAAATTAGGTGACAATTCTTCAATTTTTGCTGTCAGTGCTTTCAAATGAACACAAATTAATACGGGGTCGTGTCTGAGATTTTCAGATACCGTACAAAATGATGTGGATTGCAAAAAATTATCTGGGGGATCCAAACGTGTACTATAATACACTGATGTATGCAATGACAATTGAGGTTTCGATCCACCAAAATGCGCAGATTGGATTTCCTGACTATATTTGCATGTGTAGTTTTCCGAAAAGGCTATGTGAAGTAGGCCATCTTCAGGTGAAATTTGTTTCTTTATATCATGAATTGTATTCATTTGGTGCAGCATATAAGCAATATGTTTCATGAATGTCGGCAATATTGAATTTAAATTATCAAATATTTTTTTTTTTAGTTGTTTGCACTTTTTCTTTTATTGTTTTTTTACATTGTCTTCGTGTACCTTTAATAAACACAGTTACATCTTTTGTAACCCATCTTTCATAGGTAATGGAATCCTCATCGTCAAAATTATTTGAAGTGATAATGTTTTCTTTACATAGGGGACACTTTCTTTCTAAATAACGAACGTTTAAAATATTATTGCAGCATAAGGATTTGACAAGATCAGTCGCAGTTTTAAAAGGAATGACTTTCGCATAGTGAAGTGCTTGAACAAGAAAGTTTGTATTCGTATGTATGATACATAAACAGGTATTCCTACTTTCAACTTTAGGAAATAGAATCCAAAACGGCCGATACCTGCGAAATGTTTCATAAGATATTTGCATTCCGGTTTTTTTCACAAAAATCTTATGAAGGTTTAATAGCGAGTCGTTCAAAAAACGTAACTGTTTTTTTATTTTATTACGCGTGATTGTTTCTTTTTTTCCTGATGTAGACCTACTATATTCATCTTGCAATAAAAAGTCACGAACCGCTTTTTTTGTCTCTCTATCTCCAATTCTTTTAGGCCTCCTTTCTTTCTTCTTTTCTTCGTTCATCTTTTTTCTTGCTCTAATACATCGCATTCTATACTTTGCTAATTTAGACTCCAATTCACATATTTTTTTCTTCAAATAAATATTCTCATTCTTAAGACGTCGTTTGTTACGTTGTGATATTGTACTACCAACACTCGCACGTGATAGGGTCGGAGTTGAAGGCGGAGTATTGATTTCTACGAAATCATGCGCAGCGTTGTGTATTTTTTGCTTTTCTCGTTTTTTCTTGGCTTTTTCCCTCCACAATTTTCTTATTTGTCTTTGTTCTCTCGGAGTGAAATCTTTGATGGTTTTAATAAGTCCTTGTTCTTTTTTCTTATGATATCTTTCTCTGTCTTTTCTTCTCCGTTCTTCAAGGTCTGTTTGACTCATTCGAGCTCGAACACGTCGTATACTTATTTTTTTCTGTTCACGCCTTCGTTTTATTTTTTCTTCTTCAGATAGCTGTGATGTAGACCTACTTTTTCGTGGCATCTAAAAAATATATAAGCATAAGTAAATTTTAGTTGATAACCAGTTATTGTTCATGTAAGTATTTTATTTAATGTAAATTTTCTTAATTTTTATACTCGTGTTCAAAAATATCAGTTCTTCTGTAGAACTAACTCATAATTTGGTACATGTTTTGAGACAAAATTAACTCTAACGATGATATATTTACTAAAGGGTAAATATAAATATGTGAAGCAAGCATGTGTATGAATTATCAAAACAAAATTCCTGTAGACCTCAACTCTCCTGTAGACACAGTGTGTGCCTTTACATTGTCCTTTCTGTAGACAAGATCTCTTCTGTAGACACCATGTCTACAGAAAATATTTCTACAGGGGGGACACACAGGTGGTTAATGTAAGATGGCATGAAATTTTTTAAGGTTAGAAATTTAACGGTATATTATTCACATACTACGCCTTAAAATTAACAATGAAAATACAATCAATCAGTTTTAATCAATATACTTATCATGCTACACAGGACGCAGGAAAGACGCACTGAAATTTAACAAAAATATGTGTATTCACATAAAAATATATTTTCACAATAATTACTCACCTTTCTCTTGTGATGGCTGCCGACAACTGACACAGGACGCAATACTGCCAACACAGGAAAAAAAAAATTGATATGCGTTCCGTTTCAAACAGATTATTACTCATTTTTCACGTCTACAGAAGTAGACTCACATTTTGAGAACAGTATATTTATTTATTTTATTTCAGTATTTTAACATGTATCTATTTAGATATTTAAATAACTGTACACACTATCTAAAGAATAATTATGTTGTAAAAATATTAATCGAGAAATGGCATACAAATATTTTTAATAACCTCTTGAAGTTCGGTATTCCTATCCGAACAGTCTACAGGAGGGGACGTTTATATAAAAAAATACTAAAATGATAATCTGAAAAACAAAGCACCGTTATACTTTTCAGATAGGAAAAACAATATAAAGGCGGATTACTTAAATGACAAAGTTTTCATGTAATATAATTAAACCGAATAATTTTTTGGCTATAGAACACTTTTTTTCCAATTTTTGTGTATGACCCGGGTAGGATTCAGTTAAGGAAATTTTAGCCTTTTTTATGACTGTATTAGCAGGATGCCGAATGGCAATTCCACCGAACTGGATCGAAGCCGAACAAAAATCTAGCATTTCAATAAATACAAGTTTTTTTTTCAAGTATTTTACTAAAACAGTGAAACACTTAAAATACGTAAACCAAAATTTTACAATGCGACCAGGAAACCATTTAGAATTACATACTTTTCTAAAATTACCTCAAATAGGGACCGTTTCCGTTCCTTAATTTAATGAGCGACATCTTTAATATGTTTGCCGATGATAATATTAGCATACCATAAGCGGAACAATGCATGCACTCATTATAAGGATGTACCGTTGCGTCCGAATTTGTGGCGCACGCAGCAACGAGGACAGTGTGTTAAGTACTCGCTACCTGACCGGCATCCAGTGCACAACAATCGATTTCGCTAATCGAGATGGAGATATCGAATCGAGAAAGGATTATCTTAGATCCTGTTGGCGTTTTTAGAATTTCAAGTTTGCTAAAAAGTATTTACTTGCATCGAATTTTCATTGACTTTTGCAGTTTTCTCGTTCTGAATGGATGGGGGTTTCAGAATTATACCATTGTCTTTTTTTTAACTTTCTTAACATCTATGGGATAAGAATGCTGATACATGCCGCTCTATCCATCCTTACAATAATATCTAAAAAAAACTATGTAAAAACTACAGTAAAATATCATTAGTTCACACCGCTACCGCGAGTACCAACGGCTTCTGAGTCGCGGTAAAATTACGTTTTTATAAAAAGTATAAGCACTTAAAAAGATCGGCGGTTATAACGCATCATTCCCTTCTTAGGGGATGATCGCTTCAGATATAGCATGTAATAGCCTTTCTGGCTATAAGCATGACCTGCGGGTGTGTTTTAGTCAGTAAGAGCCTGACAAAATCTTGCAGCCGGCTGTAGGGAATCCATGAAGATTTCACACCCGCTCCCTCGCCTGGGAATATTTAAAAAAATAATATCGAATTGATTTTGCGTTTGAGACGCAGTTTGACTTTGATTTAGTTATTTTAGTTAAGATACATCGATTGACATTAATTGGTTTTTCTAATTTCTGATATAGAAAATAAAGACTCCTGCTCAAATATATTGTAGTAATTACGGAACCCTATACTGCGCGTGGCACGACACGCAGTTGGCCGGTTTTTTTTATTAACAAAGGTTAATGATTTTTTTGTGAATTCTGAAAGTAGTACGAGAATGCAAAAAGTTCAAGAGACAATATTTTAGTAGGTTATGGAGATTTGCCAACTTTATTCTTAATACTGTTTCTATTTGGCTGCGGTCTTTTTGCAAGGCGGATAATACTTCGCGAAAGGGTTATACAAGCTAACTATCGCTATGAAATTGAGAACGATTGGCAACTTACAAAGCTCGGTCTGCAAAAGTCAAAATCTGAACCCTGTTAATAAATGTGAAAAAAAAGTTTTGTTCTATAATCATGCAGAGTACCCCCTCATCTCATAATAAATGCAAGTGAAGTTGCAGAAAAGTGGGCCAATGCATACATCCTTTCCCTTCCTGGCCTGACCATAACACTTCCAAAAGTTAGTGATATTTATTGTAATCTTCTATAAGGCGTCTTTCTGTATAGATTATTTACCGAGTGCATGTAATCAAGCTAGAACTTTCTCATCGAGTCGTTTTGATACAAATTCATTATCAAAAGCATACATACCTCTCTGTACCAAATCCTACTTAACCATTCAACTCGCCCGCCCGACATGACGGCATTATAACAAATGACAAACACCGTAGCAAATAAAATGAAACGATAACGCACCGAAACCGATTAAGAAGTGGGTCTTGGTAAAGAATTTGTGCAGATTCGGTACAGAAACGAAAACGAAAAGATCCGGTGAGAAAGACGCTCTGTCTGGCGCCTTAGAGAGGAAAATCCGCTAGGCTACCTCTTATAAAATGTTGGAGTAGTTACGCAGTTTCTTGCTACTGTTTCTTTGAATTACAAATGTTATTTGAATGATGTGAACAAAACACAGCGCTACCACCTAGACTGTTTATTAAGAGATGAATGAATTATTTAAACGAAGAGCTCGTTTTCTCGTCACACCCACGTAGATTGGTTAGTTTATTGTTTGAATGTATTTTTACATAGTTATGAGTTATGTTGAACCCACACGGTACAATGGACCCAGAGCCTTCGTGTGGCAGCACGTGAGCGGAATTCTCTACAGTCACCAGGGGAAAGGATGCCCCATCAAGAAATGTATTCATTCAGTAACCTCATTGATAGACCACCATTCAAGTAAAGGAAATGTTAGAAAAGAAGTCGTAGAGAAATTATCAAATAATTGTACTAAGAATAATAAGAAAAACCAAAATATTTACTTAAGTCATAAAAACCTAAGTATATAATATTTTAATAAAGTATTATTACAAGCAAAACTTCTGAATTTAGAGTTGACTTCTTCTTACCCATTAATAACCTTGTTTGCCTTATCAGCCTGAACTACTCTAGCTTTCTAAATAAGCACACAAAAATAACAATCCAAATTTATGTTTTTTGGTTGGCAAATCCTGAAATATTAAGGTATTGTAACGCCCGCAGCGCCCATCCTTTTCGCTTATTGGTTTTCTAGTGTCAACGGCTGGCATTCAAGAAAATTATGAAATAAAAAATAAAATATGGAAACTCAAAGAATGCGGTTGCTTTTTTCTCAATTGGAATGACGGCATTCTAGAAACGGGCGTAGAAGAGACAACCAACCCATGTTATAGTTGAGAGAAAAAAATACAGAAAAATAGCGCATATATCCAGTATCTCATTTTCAGTTACATGAAATCTTAGCTTCTCTGGAGCTGAAGAATTTTATAGTACCTACCTAGCTTGCTCCAAAATGTGTCCTCTGTGCTTTCTCTCAGTTATCTATCACAAATGTTATTTTTTTACACGAAAAACATACCGAGATTGACCTGATACTATGTGTTTGTTCAGAGGCGTGTTAGTAGATACAATTATCTTGACAGTGATTTAGACGCAATTCTGTATGATAATACAGATTCTATTTTAAGGAGTGTCCTTCAGATAAATGTTTCAGAAAATAACACGAATATACTTTTTTAAATAAACTGTTTCTAATCACAGATAAACTGATAAATGTGCCATTATTATGGTCCACTATTTTATGCTGGGCCTGTATGGTAAGACACTTTTTGACATGTTTTTCAGTTATAATTATATCGAAACTTAAAAGATACCTAAAACGTAGATATTTTCACAAACATTCAGTGTTATGCCTGGGGTGTTCCTCTTAATATGAGTTTTTGTTGGAAGCTTCGTCGTATTGGTGATGCCCGCAACCTCGTTCATCATTGAATTCAGAGATTTAATTGTAAGAATACATCTTCTTTTCAATGCAAGTAATTTTTTTAAGAGAAGAGTTTTTGTTTACGGGTCCCCGGAGTGAAAAACTGTGTAAGTCAGAGCCCTACTCTAACTGATCCGGGGAGGCAATGAGAGGTTTAACCCTTTTTACTACACTTCCCATGATATTTTCAAAACTAAGGTTTTGAGTAAGCTCACAGACAAGTGTTATGAACAAACAAACTGCTAAGCTCTCCCTCTCTAATATATTCTAATTCATAATATCTCGTCAATATAAATTACAAGTACCTACGTGTCAGAGTTATAGGTATTTGTGTGATCATGTCAGAGTATCGGTCTTCTCTAAGCAGGTGGTTTTATTATCTCCTCAAGAATGAGGAACTTCATTAGCATATATCGCAAACAAAGAGATCTACGATTAGAATTCCTGTGTGCATGCGTGCTTTAGGGTTGACGCATACAATATATTTGCACGAAAACGGAGCCTTTTATTATTATACTAATTTTTATTGCATCAGATAATACA